CTTGGAGGCCAACACAGGAATGGGAGTGGAGAGCAGAAAGGTGCCCCCTCCGGGTGCCCAGCGCCGGGGTCTGAGAAACAAAGTGAAAGACGCGGGCTTGACTCACGGAGGCTAAACTGATCAGGGGAGCTTATTCCAGAAAAACATTCCCAAGGAGTGATGTTTGGAAATACGTTTGGTTGTTGCCGTAAGATTATTTTAGGATTAAGCTATGCAACCACCAGCAGTGTTTTATTCCTTATAAGGTATATTAGAGATTTTTAAATAATAATAACAGTAATAATAATAATTTGTTTCCTAGACCAAAAGGCCTCTGCTACAGAATAATAGTAACGAGGCTGTATTACCAAACTTCAGTTGTTAGAGAAGTCGGCTGTGGGATTTAGCATACAGCATGGTGACTACAGTTAATAATACTGTACTAATACTTGAAAGTTGCAGAGAGAGTAGGTCTTAAATGTTCTAACCACCACCAAAAAAAGAGAGAGGTAATTATGTGAGTTAATGGATGTATTAACTAACCTTATCGCGGTCATCAATCCACAATATATACATGTGTGTAAATCTATAAAATCGTCACACTGTGCACTTTAAACTTACACAATGTCATGTCAGTTACATCTCAGTCAAGCTGGAAAGAATCAGGCTGCGTCGGAATGAATTGTGTCTAGTTCTTGGAACGGTAGCTGTTGACCTTATCAAAGGAGCAATGGGACCTCAAGAGGCCAGGCCAGGGTCTGAGGCAGCCGGTGGTGAAGGGCACTTCCAGCCAGGCCGGGCCTCTCCGCTGCTGGCATCTGTCCCCGGACGTAGCCAATGATGATTTCCACAATTTTATGACCCTTGGCCGTCATCCCAATAAGTCATAAGCCATCTTCTTCCCGTCTGTAAAATTCCACTTCTACACCCTGGCCTTTCCACCAAAATCTTTTTGAAACAGTCAGAATAGAGCCACATCTCCTTTATGTAACTTCAGCATATTCTCCTGCTGCAGCCCTGACTGACACCTCCCCCTCCCCTCCCCCTCCCCCTCCCCCTGAAGTACTTGAGGATTGAGGAGGAAGGGGCAAGCTAGATGCCAAAGGATAAAGAAAATGCTTATTTGCGTTGCCTCTTCAGTGGGTGAGTTAGTTACTAAAAGCCAAGGGACTGGTCATTTCTATATTAGATACATCATCTAGAACCATATGGATATTTAATACTGGTAAATAGAGAAAATCATTTTCTGTGTTATTATAGAATTAGGCGGAGGTTGACTTGAATAAAAAGAGCAGTGGGAAGAAACAGGTCAAGCACAGGTTCTGAAGAAGCAAACCGAAATAGTCCTGTGAGCGGAAGGAGGCACAGAGAAGTGCAGTCATATCACACATACCGGAGTTCAGGATCCAGACAAGTAAAGAGGCCTCTGTCAGATCTAGGGGATCAGGCTCCAGGTGGGGTTCAGAGCAGGTGTAGGGAAGTCAGAGCATGTCCAGGGAGAAGTACAGGCGGAACCTGAATGCTGACTGTCCTGAGTTTTTAAAAAGTCTTGCTTAGGATGAAAAGCTTTTAGCAGGTTTTTCCGTACTTCCCGGAGAAGTGCGTCCAGGTTCAATAAGTGCTTGTGACTCTGTAGCCAGAGCTAAGCTCGCTCTTGGAGGCCAGGCCAGTTAGAGAACTTTCTCCCATCAACTGCGTGCCTACCATGTATCATAAACTCAGCTCAGTGCTGGGGAAAACACAGCGAAGTATGAGGTATGAACTGTAGTTCCTGCCCTCAGAATATAGCCTGGTTATGAAAACAGGACCTAAATGTGTGAAAAGTTAAACAGCACGAAAGATAAATGGTTCAGTCCAATAAGACAAGAGATTTTGCAGGGAAGAAATGCATTTTGTGACCAAATGGGTGGTACATATGGTAGATGCCATAGGAAAGGAGAGCTGAGAGTAACCACTGTGGCTTGGCAAGGTCTGGGAAAGGGAGGGATCTGAATTATCTTGTCTTTAGATAAGTTGAGAGAAATAGTGAAGTTGTGCCAGATGGAGGGATGGTGTAAAAGTGTCGAGGTAGGAAGTTTGAGAGGCATTTAAAAACAGTAAAACAGCTTAATTAGAGTTGGAGATGAAGCCAAAAGGTAGTTGAAATGAAAATGTGATGATGCTGAGTGAAAGAGTCCTCAACTTTATCTTCTAGACACGAAAAAGTCATTAAGAGTTTTTGGACAGAGGAGTGACATGCTTAGAAAAATCCTGGGAAAGTTGGTCTGGTGGCTGAATATGGCAAATTAGAAGAAGAAAGATCGCTCAGAAAAACCAGGTGTCTATGTTTGCTTTAATTCTACTAGAAAGTGGTAAATGTTTTAACTATGAAATAGCAACAAGAACAGAAATAAAAAGATGAATGTAAGAGACATTTTGAAGGAGAGGGTAATAAAACTTTGCCCTAACCGGTTTGGCTCAGTGGATAGAGTGTCGGCCTGCAGGCTGAAAGGTCCCAGGTTCGATTCTGGTCAAGGGCATGTACCTTGGTTGCGGGCACATCCCCAATAGGGAGTGTGCAGGAGGCAGCTGGTCGATGTTTCTCTCTCATCGATGTTTCTAACTCTCTATCTCTCTCCCTTCCCCTCTGTAAAAAATCAATAAAATATATTTTTTTAAAAACCAAAAACTTAGCACCTTCTTGTCCATCGAGGCAAAGAAGAATCATCAAAGGTAAATGCATAGTTTTGGAACCAAGTGGCTAGAAGACTATTTTATGAACAGAAATGGGGATGTTAGGTTGGGGGGTGAGATGGCTACATTTTTAAGGAAAGATAATGAGTTGACCTTTAGATGATAGTCTTTGATGAAGCAGGAGGCAGAGATATATTGCTGGAAGGTACAAGGGAGAGCCTTGCCTGTGCTAAACGTGTGGGGGTTGCCTGCATAGAGATGACTATTCTACCTGTTTGAATGGATTATATCTTCTAGAGAGAGAAGAGTCAAAATGTTGGAGATGCCAACATTTTAAAGGAGGAAGCGGAAAGAAACCACCCAGCACGCAGTGTGCAGTGTGCAGTGTGAGACTAGGGAGGAGGCGACAGGTTCGCGTAGACGCAGATAAGAGCATCGAGAAGGAAGCCGCGGTCAGCAGTATCAGATGTTGCAGAGAGGTCACCGAGAAAGGCTAGGGACTGAAGAAAGGCCACTGGGTTAGGCAGGAAGTCGTTCACCTTTAGGACAGTCTCAGAGTGTGTATGTGGGGTGGCGAGGAGGTGGATTAAGGACGGAGCCTTGAAGAACAGGGGTCTAGCACTGATTACAGGTGAGAAGAAGGAACAAAGCAAAGGGGAGAATATGGCGATTACTCCCCTTGCCTTCCAAGTTGGGAATGTGTGTGTGACACAGATGAAGACAGAAGACAGAGATTAAGCCATTGATTCATTAAGGACTCGGATCCCATCAACAGGAAGAAATTAAAAGCTGTAGGAGAAAGAGAGGACAGTGGAGGGAACGGGGTTCAAGAGAAATCGGAAAGGGTGAATCATGAGAACCGGGGAACTTTGACTGCTGGAAAGGAGACACCTCTTCCTCTGAGACGGAGAGGAGAGAGTTGAGGATGGGTGTAGATTCAGGAATGCTTTGAAAGGAAGAGAATAAAGGTGGGAAGCAAACTGCTGACCTTAGGCTTCTGGACAAAGTGGAAGGTGGGTGGCCTGCTGAGAGAGAGGCTGGACTAGGGTGATGGGCGATGGGGCGAAAATGAAAATGTTGAATACCACTCTGGGTAACACGAGGGGGTCAGAGAAACGCAGACATTAGGATGGCTGAACACCAACGGTGCTTGATAGGAAACCCACTTATAAGAGATGTTTATGACTGCAGCTTAGAAGACGGCACTGTGTTTTTCTACTGTCACCTTTAAGAACTTATTCTTGCCCTAGCTGGTTTGGCTCAATGGATAGAGCGTCGGCCTTCATGTGCCCAGGTTCGATTCTGGCCAACGGCACATGCTTGGGTTGCGGGCTTGATCCCCAGGATGGGGCGTGCAGGAGGCAGCCAATCAATGATTCTCTCTCATCATTGATGTTTCTATCTCTCTCTCCCTCTCCCTTCCTCTCTAAAAGCAATAAAATATATTTTTTTTAAAAAATAACTTATTCTTCCTCATTGTCTTATTTTTCCTAATACATTTTCTATGAATTTTTTTTATTTCTACTATCACCATAATTATAACTTGCACAACTATTCCAGAGTTATGCTGAGGTTATCTAAATTGTGGGTGAGATGTTGGTCTGGAATAATACTTTCTAGATGAATTAATTTATTGATATATGCATTTAGCAGAAAAAGTTAGTGACTGAAACCCATGAATTATATTACCCACTTCCCCCAAAAGGTTGATATAATGCTTTAGACTATCTAAATGCAAACGCTGAACCAACTGCTTATCTACTCAACCCTATAGAATTCATCTAAGAGTAACTTAAGAATAAGATCCCAGGGGTAATTATGGATCATCCAGAAGCTAGCAGGTCGTGAGTGGCTCCATGATTGGACCTGTGTGGGAAGATGTTTCTTCATATGACTGAACCAGACACTCAGGGACTGGGACAAAGAGTAACTAACCATGGAGGACAACATACATAACAATTGCATAACAATACAGTCTTCAGTTCTGCTGGGATTACAACAAGTGAGAATTGAGGAAGAATTTATTTCTATCACGGACATTATTTATAATATATATAATGAACAAAGTCCTGACATTCAAATTCTGTGTCTCCATCTTAAATATATTCCTGACCCTGTAAGTCTCCCACCCTCCTGGTGGTGTCAGGTGGAACAACAAACTCCTTGGCCCCACAAACTGAGTGACCAGAATGTGCTTCTGGATGGAATAGATTCACCTCTGCAACCTTGTGTAAGTGGGGGGACATGTTCTATAGGCCCCAGCCACTGCTCAGGACGGAAATGAATCTGTTGAGTTTACTCATGCGATGGCAACTAAATACTTATTTTCTCCTTTCTTTCTCTTGTAGGTATGGCCTCACATGTGCAAGTTTTCTCCCCTCACACCCTTCAATCAAGTGCCTTCTGTAGTGTGAAGAAATTGAAAGTAGAGCCGAGTTCCAACTGGGACATGACTGGGTACGGCTCCCACAGCAAAGTGTATAGCCAGAGCAAGAACGTGCCACCTTCTCAGCCAGCCACCACAACCGTCAGCACCTCCTTGCCCATCCCGAACCCAAGCCTACCTTACGAGCAGACCATCATCTTCCCAGGAAGCACCGGGCACATAGTGGTCACATCAGCAAGCAGCACTTCTGTCACTGGGCAAGTCCTCGGCGGACCACATAACCTAATGCGTCGAAGCACTGTGAGCCTCCTTGATACCTACCAAAAATGCGGACTCAAGCGTAAGAGTGAGGAGATTGAGAACACAAGCAGCGTGCAGATCATCGAAGAGCATCCACCCATGATTCAGAATAATGCCAGCGGGGCCACTGTAGCCACTGCCACCACTTCGACTGCCACCTCCAAAAACAGTGGCTCCAACAGTGAAGGCGACTATCAGCTGGTCCAGCATGAGGTGCTGTGCTCCATGACCAACACGTACGAAGTTTTAGAGTTCCTGGGCCGAGGGACGTTTGGGCAAGTGGTCAAGTGCTGGAAACGGGGCACCAATGAAATTGTGGCCATCAAGATCCTGAAGAACCACCCATCCTATGCCCGGCAAGGTCAGATCGAAGTGAGCATCCTGGCCCGCCTGAGCACAGAGAGTGCCGACGACTACAACTTTGTCCGGGCCTACGAGTGCTTCCAGCACAAGAATCACACGTGCTTGGTCTTTGAGATGCTGGAGCAGAACCTCTATGACTTTCTGAAGCAGAACAAGTTTAGTCCCTTGCCCCTCAAGTACATTCGCCCAGTCCTCCAGCAGGTGGCCACGGCCCTGATGAAGCTAAAGAGCCTGGGTCTTATCCATGCAGACCTCAAACCGGAAAACATCATGCTGGTGGATCCGTCCAGACAGCCATACCGCGTGAAGGTCATCGACTTTGGGTCAGCCAGTCACGTGTCCAAGGCCGTGTGTTCCACCTACTTGCAGTCCAGATACTACAGGTAAGACCCTCTGCACTGAGACCGGAGATGCCGGCTGCCAGTGGCAGCCACAGGGAATGTGCAGTGCTAGTCACTGCGGGGGAGACAACTTTCTGTGCCTGCAGCGCTGCCTTCCGGTGAGCAGAACTTAGTCAGGAAATTAGGACGTGTGCACGTGGAAATGGTGATTGGAAGCCATGTAGAAGGGAGCCAGGTAAGGTTCTTGGCTCACACGTTCAGAGTTGGAAGGGGCTCCTGGGGGGTGGGGTGAAGAGCAGATGCAGAGCAGGGTCCTCATGGATCCAGACATGGGTGGAGGAGAGAGGGGGATGTGCATTATTGAAGTCACTGTGACAAGAACACGCAAGATTTGCATTGGAGACAAAGAGGACCCCTTCCTGGCCAGAACAGAGCCTCTGGGGGTCGTGGGAGCTGGGATTGAAAGGGTAAGTTGGGGCAGGGTTGTCGTAAATACCAGACTAAGAGGATGCAACTGTGTCCTTAACGATGGAGCCAGCACTTAAGCGTTACAGCAGCAGAGGGTAACAGGACGAACGTGATGCTCTGAGAAGGTGGCATTTACATGTCCACGTTTGAGGGATCGAAGGAGGGACAGATGCCTCGGGCCCATTGGCTTGCTCCTGGCGAGAGAAGGCCACGCTTTGTGTCAGGATGATGGGAAGATGGGGGGAGGATTGTAGGGAAGGGCAAAGCCTTCATTCCTTCACTCACTCCACAAGGAGACTTCACTGCTCACCTGAGCCGGCCACTGTGCTGGTGCCGAAATCCCGGGGTCTCTAGCATGCCGGTTCCCACCCCTGGCTACACGGTAAAATCACCCCAAGGCTTTTAAAAGTAACCCGACTTGGGTCCCCATCTCCACAAACTGAATCCACATCTTTTTTGGGATCCCACTGCCCAGCCAGGGTTGAGACCCGGTGCTGCAGGGTGGGGGGCCCAGATGAGAACACTGGCTTTGGAGTGAGCAGCCTGGCTTGACCCTGATCCCTGCACTGGCTAAGCTGTGCAACCTGGGCTTGCTGCCTCATTTCCCCGCGACTCCACTCCCACACCCGTACACTCAGGAAATCGGTCACCAGCCCGTGGGGTTGTTGGGATGGTGGCACGTGGTGACACAGCTCCGTGGTGGGCGCAGGAAGGAGTGAGTGGAGTGGGACAGGACGGGCTGTTCTGTGGCGGTGGTGAGGGGCTGTGCTTGGAGTGATGTTGAACAGTCCAGTGAAGGTGGAAGGTGCCAGGAAACAAAACCAAACTCCCATGAGAAGATAGGGCTGACGACCCTGTCAGAATCCCAGGCTCATCTTTGTCTGACGCCACACTTCCTTTCCCGGCCACAGAGAAACGGCTGGAAAGCAAGCGAGAGCGGTGGGTGGCACAGCTGGCGTCACCTGGACCTCCACCGGCAGCTCCCCTTGTTCCCCTTGTTACTGACCTTTGGGCCAGTCCCTCCACCCAGCCCTCAGCCCGCAGCCTCGTGCATAGCCTACAAGGCAGGGTCCCCCACGTGCCCCCCTCACCTTCCTCACCTCCTGACTCCGGTCTCTAGGCCCCTCACCTGTGCTATTCGTCTCCCCGCCTAGGCCCACCCTCCCCTTAGGAGGCATTTCCTGAGCTACAGCAGCTCCTTTCTAGGCCCCTGGTCCGTCCTTCCCACCATTCCTCCCCCCTCAGTGCAGGTGCGAGCATCTCCCGTCTGGGAGGAGCGGGGCTTGCCGCTGCCTCCTGCTCACTCCCTTCCTGTCCACTCACCGGCTTCGTCAGCTTTGCGGTTGGCTCCCTGTCCCTCTGCTCTGGAGCAGGCGATCCTCATCACAGCCGAGTCCCCTGGGCTTGAGGGGAGAGGAGGGGACCCCCGTGTGTCCCTGGGGACGGGGGTGAAGGAGGGCGGGCCAGCGCGGGCTCTCGGAAAGCGAGCGCGGTGGCGTCATTGTGGTCACCATGGCTCCCGCTGCCGAGGTCACTGTGCCGTTAGGTGGCCGGTTCAGCGTGCCACAGGCTGCTGCTTGCTAGGCCCCGGCCTGAGCTGAGGGTGAACGGCGGGCTGCTCGGCTTTTATGATTGAGTTATACTCGGTGGTTTCAGTGAACAGAATTGGCTTTATTCGAGTTACTGAAAAGTGAGCATGGCCGCCTGCGAAGACTTTAACAAGCGCCATTTGAAAGGCAGTGCACACTCAGGGCAAAGCCTGGCGAACCCATACGTTGGCTTTGGGATCCTCAGGTGCTCTCTCTTCTCACCCGGTGTCCATGTGGCACTTCCCGCCCTGCCCCAAGGTGGGCGCTGTTTTACTTTGCTTGTCTGTCTGCGCCTCGTGCCCTGTACCCGGGACCCCACTCGGGAAATCGGGGGCAGGAGGGACATCTCCGGGGGTGGTGAAGGCCTGCTGGCTGATGCTCCAGGGCTCTCATTAGCTCTCCTCTCTCTGCCCCCACTTTCCACCTCTGCCCACTCCCTCCCAGGCGCCCTGGTGCCGCATCCCCTGCCTGTACCCTCAGTGGCTGTTGCCCAGCATTCTGAGGAGGAGAACCTCTTCTTCGTGGTTGCTTTGGCCAAAAGAGCAAGTGTCCACCCTTCCGGTCCTCATGCCCCTCACCCTCATTATGCCCGGCTCTGGTTCCAAGGGCACAGTCACCCCAGAGCCAGCCCAGCCTTTCTGCTTGAAATGATGCTGTCTCTGAATTGGTCACTGTGTCCTATTCCTCCATCCTGTGTCCCCCCCCCCCCCGCCCCTCGTCTGAGCCCCGGGGTAGCTGCCGAGAGTTTCAGGACAGTCTCTGCTACGTCTGCGCCAGTCCTGGCTGTGGGACAGCCAAGTCCGGGCCACATTTATCAAGTTGGTTTTCCCTGATTGCCTGGCCTCTTATGGGGGAGAGGGGATGGGGTGGGGTGGAGCACTTCAGTTGTCCATTGTTAATCTGCATCTTAAGAGAATGTGCCTGTGCTTGAGCTGCGGAAAGGTGGGGCCGGGGCGGGCGGGATGGACAGTGCCTTATGCTATGGATCCAAGCAGACACAGGGCTTGGTTTCCCAGGATCCCCCGTGTCTGAGCTGGGTGCACCCTCTCTCCCCCCATACCTCTCACTTTCAAAGGGGAGAGCATTTCCATGTCCCTCCCTGTTTTACATGGGACAGTATCAAGCGTCTGGTCCCTGCCTAGTGATGTGGAAACAGTGGATATAAAGAGATGTTTCCGTCTGCAGCCTGGGGTACCTGGACAAGCAGGTGGGGCGGAGGGAGTGAACTGTTTCCCTACCTGTTAGCCATTTGCGTGGCCGAGGTTGGGGGCATCTTGCTGTAGGTATTCTGTCAGGCAAGCCTGGTTGTGTGTAAAAAAAACAAAGGCTGCATTTTTAGTTTTTTAAGTTGATGCCTGGGTATCGTCTTCCAACTTGAAGGTCAGTTACAGGGTTAAGTGTCATCGCCCTGGTTCTCAAGCTTTATTATGCACAAGAGTCACCTGGAGAGCTTGTTAAAAACAGATTTCTGCCAAGGTCCTGCCCCAGACCCAGGGCACCAGCCTCTCCAGAGGGAGTGTCCCCTGAGAAAGTACACACACGCACACACGCACGCACACACACACGCACACACACACACACACACACACTCAACTGAAGGTGAGGTGGTCTGCCTTAGGCCCGCTGTTTGAGAAACACTGCTCAGGGGAAAAAGGGGTTTTCTCAGTGGTGTCACCTTTCAGGTGTTCTCCCCTGAGGAAGGAGGTGTAGGTGATCCTGTTTGTCACTCACCTTGGAAGCCCTCGCCATTTCCCTATTTGACTCTGCATTGGTGCCAGTTATGTTTTTGGAACAGAGACAGTACATTGATATTATTTTTTTAAAAAAATACCCTTGTCTAGCCCAGCCGGCATGGCTCAGTGGTTGAGCGTTGACCTATGAACCAGGAGGACACAGTTTCCAGTCAGTGCACATGCCCGGGTTGCAGGCTCGATCCCCAGTGTGGGGCATGCAGGAAGCAGCCAACCAATGATTCTCTGTCATCATTGATGTTTCTATCTCTCTCTCCCTCTCCCTTCCTCTCTGAAAGCAATAAAAAATATTTTTAAAAAATACTCTTGTCTATTATACTTAATTTGAAGTACTTATGATCATTACTAGGACCCCCCCCCCCCAAAAAAAATGGGCATCAAAATTTAGGACATAAAAAATGGCCAGTAACCTACTTTCTCATAATAATCTAACCTTTTTGTCTGACTCTTTTGCTTGCAGAGACTCTCTTCAAGTTGATTCCATGATTGTTTTAGGTGGGGGTGGAGATATATAATTCAGTTCAGTTCATCTGATGTCCATTGGGTTCCTACTGTGTGTCCTGTGGTAGATCTACTGAAGGGTACGAGATAAGGCATGAGCTCTGACCTTGAGGAGTGTACGCTCTCTCTGTGGAGGTTAAAGACACAAGCAGACTGCCTAGAGTCTAATTCGGATGCTTTGATATTGCAAATGTTTGATCAGATCATTCAGCAGATATTCATTGAGACTCTAGGGAACCAATGATGAGGAAACCAGTTAAAGAATTCAAAGTCAAGGATAGATTTTGCAAGATGGGTCAATAGGGGAGGGTTATAGAGCAAGAGCTACATTGAGGTAGGTCTTAAAGGAAATGCGAGATGGGGGTGGGGGACCTGGGAGCCAGGAGATTGGAATAAATAAGGGAAGATGGGAAACGGGAAACGGTGAGACCTGGAAGGAGTTGAAGGCCTGAGCTGGAAAACAGGGGTTAGGTGGGTGGTGTCTGACCATGGCGCTTTTGATGAAGGCTTGAGGAGCTTGGATTTAACAAGGAGTAATTTCATGAAGTTAAGGATATTAATGAGGTTAATCAATTGGAATGGAACAAACAAAAAGACATTAGGAAGAATTCAGAGGCTAGCAGACAATAAAAGTAGTTATTCAGGAATAAAGGGAAGAGGCCCTAGGTTATAATGGGAGAGCCCTCCTCCCCCCACCTCAAGAATAAATGTGAACACTTAGTCTTTTTAACTG